CACACTATCTTTTTCAAATTGCTTGACATTAAGTTTTATTAATGATTCATACGAAAAACTTTGTTTTTCGTTGTTACGGCTTGATCTGACCAGGGGTGGACTGGGGAGTTCAGGCGGCCCGGGAAAAAAATCAAAGCAGCCCGGGAAAAAAAAAAAAAAAAGTGGCCCTATCTTCATGACTTTTATTTTTATTATATTTATTTATTTTATTTATTTAGGCATTTTTATATAGCGCTTATCATAAAGCTCTAAGCGCTTTACAATTATTAAAACAAGTAAACTAAGTAAATACAAATGAGACACTAGGATAGTAACTACTATTCTATAGAAACAATGAAAATGGCTATAAAAAGAGGACACTTTGACACTTCTGGATTAAACCGAAACAGAAAATTAGGTAGGGCAAGGAGGGTGCATCACAGGTCATAGGCGGACCTAAACAGATGAGTTTTAAGGGACTTTTTGAAAATGGACGAGGTTTCACTATGACGTATATGGAAGGGGAGCTGGTCCTAGCGGCCCATCGGGAATCTTCCCGGTGTCCCGACGGCCCAGTCCACCCCTGGATCTGACCTTTTGCTTCCGTCACAAGTGGCTTTCTGAGTGACTTCTCTCGGACTGTTTAGGATAAAAAGAAAAAAGTTTTATTTTTTTTTTTTTTTAATGTTATCTGGTTAGGGCTAGTCAAAATCAAATATTTCAGTCAGGCCATCATGTCCATTTCATAATCAAGGAGCCCACGAAACCTCAATAGCTGTGGCTAAACACTACGCTACTCTTACCACAAAACCTGAACGTCAACCCATTCTCAAACGTACTACTTTTGCACCCCCACCCCCACACTCACATGTATTACAAACACAAATATATATTTTTAAATGATAGAAAACACACTTCTGCTCTACAGATCCCCAGGCCCAACACTCTACTGGTGGGCGCCAGTGGAAGGTTTCCAATAGGTGTGCATTGTGACTGAGGCTATCTTTTCTTTTAAATTGGTGTTCACGTTTTGCGCTGCATATCTCTACACATGATCAACACATGCAAATCGACACATCACAATGCTTGTAATGTAGCTTTTCAACTACGTTTTCGCGTGACGTTAAAACGAGGTCCGACAAATTTATTTTATTTCAGTTTTTATAGTTATTAACGCTTACACGTCCACGTCATCATGCTCAGCGCATTACACCGTCACACCATTTTCTCATGTACGACATTATTTTGTTAACTACGTAAATAAGAAGCTAGCAAATTTACCCGTGCGTCTCTATGAGGGGAGTTGGGGGGTGGGGGGGGGGTCCTTTTATTGATTGATTTTACAAAATGTGTATATTTGTGTTAATATCATCTCCATTGAATTGATAACTGTAGTAAGGAAAAAAATGTGTGGGTACGGGGGGGGGGGGGGGGGGGGGTTAATGTTTTATTGAAAGTTTTAAGTCATCGTTAATGGTTGATTGGAAGTCTCAAGTCATATTTAATGGTATTAGGGAAGTCTCAAGTCCTATTTAATGGTATTTGGGGTCTCAAGTCATATTTAATGGTTGATTGGAAGTCTCAAGTCATATTTAATGGTTGATTGGAAGTCTCAAGTCATATTTAATGGTTGATTGGAAGTCTCAAGTCATCTTTAATGGTTGATTGGAAGTCTCAAGTCATATTTAATGGTTGATTGGAAGTCTCAAGTCATATTTAATGGTTGATTGGAAGTCTCAAGTCATATTTAATGGTATTTGGGAGTCTCAAGTCCTATTTAATGGTTGATTGGAAGTCTCAAGTCATATTTAATGGTTGAGTGGAAGTCTCAAGTCATATTTAATGTTTGATTGGAAGTCTCAAGTCATCTTTAATGGTTGATTGGAAGTCTCAAGTCATATTTAATGATTGATTGGAAGTCTCAAGTCATCTTTAATGGTTGATTGGAAGTCTCAAGTCACATTTAATGGTATTTTGGAAGTCTCAAGTCATCTTTAATGGTTGATTGGAAGTCTCAAGTCATCTTTAATGGTATATTGGAAGTCTCAAGTCATATTTAATTGTATTTTGGAAGTCTCAACAGAAACATGACCATTTGTAATTTTAGAAATATCAGAAGGTTGTTATATTGATCACTTCCAGTTCACTGACGTCACATCCCTTTTTCCACTATGGCAGCTATTTTTTAATTTATAATTTTTTTTTTTTTTTTTGCAGCAACAAGAAAAAATAAAAATGGTTATTTCTTTGTTTATATTTGTTTTGTTTCCTTTTTGACCTTGGCTTTCTCTTTTATCTTGTTTTATTTGATATACGTATTTTTTTTTTATTTTTTTTTTTTTCAGTAACAATAAAAAATAAAAATGTTTTTTTTTTTTTTTTTATTTTTTTTTTTTCTTTTTTTTCTTTTGTTTTCTTTTTTTTTTTTTTTTATTTTTTTTTTTTTTTTTTTTTTTATTTTTTTTTTTTTGGTCTGCGGGGACTAACAGATTTTATTATTTTTTTGGATCAGTTTTCACTGTGCCGCCCGTTAAATAAAGTGTCTTATTTAGTCGTTGTGACAGAAGTGGCCAAGGCTACCATCAAGGATTTGATGTCAGATAAATCGCGTCCCGGGAAAAGTGAGGTGAGGGGGGGGGGGGCGTGCGTTACTAACTCGGACTCTGTCATATGACGTCCCCCCAGACTTTTGCGTAGTTTTTTTTGTTTTCGTTGCAAAAGCAAAGAACTGCACATGATCTTAATATTTAAAGTCATGATTTCTACGGGGCTGGTCTTTTGTTTTCGTTGCAAAAGCAAAGAACTGCACATGATCTTAATATTTAAATTCATGATTTCTACGGGGCTGGTCTTTTGTTTTCGTTGCAAGAGCAAAGAACTGCATATGATCTTAATATTTAAAGTCATGATTTCTACGGGGCTGGTCTTTTGTTTTCGTTGCAAAAGCAAAGAACTGCATATGATCTTAATATTTAAAGTCATGATTTCTACGGGGCTGGTCTTTTGTTTTCGTTGCAAAAGCAAAGAACTGCATATGATCTTAATATTTAAAGTCATGATTTCTACGGGGCTGGTCTTTTGTTTTCGTTGCAAAAGCAAAGAACTGCATATGATCTTAATATTTAAAGTCATGATTTCTACGGGGCTGGTCTTTTGTTTTCGTTGCAAAAGCAAAGAACTGCATATGATCTTAATATTTAAAGTCATGATTTCTACGGGGCTGGTCTTTTGTTTTCGTTGCAAAAGCAAAGAACTGCATATGATCTTAATATTTAAAGTCATGATTTCTACGGGGCTGGTCTTTTGTTTTCGTTGCAAAAGCAAAGAACTGCATATGATCTTAATATTTAAAGTCATGATTTCTACGGGGCTGGTCTTTTGTTTTCGTTGCAAAAGCAAAGAACTGCATATGATCTTAATATTTAAAGTCATGATTTCTACGGGGCTGGTCTTTTGTTTTCGTTGCAAAAGCAAAGAACTGCATATGATCTTAATATTTAAAGTCATGATTTCTACGGGGCTGGTCTTTTGTTTTCGTTGCAAAAGCAAAGAACTGCATATGATCTTAATATTTAAAGTCATGATTTCTACCGGGCTGGTCTTTTGTTTTCGGGAATCGGAATCCCTGGTTGTTATGACGACACGTCAGCCCTGGTTGTTATGACTCGGCAACCCTGGCTGCTATCAAGAATCGGCAACCCTGGTTGCTATCAGTTCCATATATCCGAGGAAAAAGTGGGTCTGCATCAGCAATTTTATCAAGTAGTGGGTACGCTCAGCTGAAAGATAACACCAATTTTTTTAAAAATAATACTTGATAAGGTTGTTTTTTTCCCTCATGCATTTCATGTGATCGGTGTTTAGAGAGTAGAGCTGAGGTGGGGGTTGCGGGGTTGGGGGGGGGGTCCTCTTTAATAGCAAACCTTCAACCTCTAATCAATAAATTGATTAAAATTGAACGGCCTTACAGTGTGGATAGAGATAACTTGCCTTGCCCAACGACTGATTGATGACGTAGATGATAAAGTGTTTTGTTTCTTTTTTAATGAAAACAGAAGAGTCTAGTGTGTTTTTTTTAGATAATGACGTAATTTAAACACCGTGACTAAAAATAAAAGTTGGCCCCCCTCCCCCGTGATATTTATTGATCTGCCCCTGTATTCTCGGTTTTTGTTACGTCATGACATTGAAACGTTCGATATTCCATATCATGTTCTCATTTCATAGGAGATTATTGAATGGAATCTATTGGTGCGGAAAGGCTGGGAGGGGGAGGGGAGGCTCTGAATGTTACGATGGTTAAGAGATTTCTTTGAACAGCATGTTGGATCGTAATGACTAACAAGGAGTAAGGTTAAAATGACCAACATTTGTTGTTGTTGGGTGTCTAATTATTCTCCACCAGTATAAAGTTACAATTTGTATCAGTGATGTACCTTTATTTATCTTCAGAACAATGTATATCTAAATATCTGTGACGAGGATACCCATCGCGTTCGATCTATAATTCAGCACTGCTTTATTCGTTCAAATGCCACACACGTGTTTTTGTTTTGTTTTTTTTTTAAATTTAAGTCTTAATCGATTATCCGGTCGTGCAGCCCTATTTGCCAATCTTACATACATATGATATTGATTCCTGCTGTGGTGGCTCCTGGTCCAATGGAGAGACGTCCGGGGTATTGAATGGCAGGAATTCCTTTACTGTGGACCTGGCTAGTAGGCTGTCTGAGACGCGTGACGGGCTGGAAATGTTTTGACCTGACAAATGTTCAGGCAACGGAACGGAAGTCCGGGCTTCTGTACCCGTAACTCGGGTGAGGTGGGGGGGGGGTGGGGGGAGGGGGGAAGTGTAGTTGGTTGTCATTCAACAAGGAGCTTTGCTTGTATTTCTCTCACTCGATTCGTGTGTTTGATATTGTTCCGTAATGTAATTGGAGGTCTTGTGTAAGTTAGCAGTTTATCTTTTAGACTGACGCGATCGATACCAGTGTTCCCTTTAATGTAATGACATAGTATCACCACATTGTGCTTGTGACATTAAAAAACCTAGTCATGCATAATTTTATTTAAATATTACATGGTGATTTAAATACCATTTGTTAATCATTTTATTGACTTTTTTTTTTTTTTACTGTTGGTGTGCTTTGAAACCGATACTGCAAGTCATTAAGGTAAATCGTTTGTAGGTACTTAAAATAGGCTGTGTAAGGTATGTCAACTCATGTGTGTAAGATATGTCTAAACATAATAATTTGTATGATACGTCCAAACATATGTGTACGATACGTCCAAACATATGTGTATGATACGTCTAAACATATGTGTATGATACGTCTAAATAGTTGTGTACGATGTGTCAAAACATATGTGTTAGATATGTCTAAAAATATGCGTAAAATATGTCCAAACATATGTGTAAGCTTACATCATGCATACGCTTAGATACTGCCCTTAATTCAGTCAAAAGTGAAGATGACTTTATGACTTTACCACTCAAACAATGTTGAAGACTGTTATGTTTAATTTAATGATAATTTTGAAAATAACTTTTTTAAAAAGAAACGCAATTTATTTTTTTTAATAGAAGAAATTTGACGTATATTTGTCGTATTTTTTACGTATATTTAACGTATATTCGAATAATATAAAAAATCGTTCTTTTTAAAAAAAAAAAATCAACTTAACCGTTTAGTCAAAGACCCATGGTAAACTCTTGTGTGGCCATTCTTCCACAGTTAAGTAAAGGAGAGAGGCCTATTCGATCCTGTCACTATGACCACGGAGAGCACTGAACCCGACGCCCTCCACGGATCAGCACCCCTACTAGAAGACTTCCCCCCAAGAGTCCCGAGCTCAAACTATGAGACAATACCTTTTGACTTTCACACGAAAACTTCATTTGATGCCGACGACGCTCTGATCCAGACGAGAAGCAAACAATACAAGTAAGCCCGTTCAGAGGCGTAGCGAGGGTGTTTGGCACCCGGGGACAAGATTCGCGCCCGGGGACAAGATCCATTTTAGAGTCCCCCTTTTAATTTTTTCAACTCTCAAGCCCATTATTTTCATCAATAAAATAATAGCAAAGCACATTTTGGCCCCCTAACTAGCTGGCGCCCGGGACATCTTTCCCCCCTGCCCCCCCTCGCTACGCCTCTGAGCCCGTCTATGAACTGAAAACAGCATCGATTACGTGCATTATGTTTGATAACACGAAAGCTGAATGGCGCAATTTAAGTCTGTGTTCCATCTCCTTTTCTATTTGATCTTTGCGTGGCCAAGACATAAGATGTATTTTGTTCTCTTTTTGATCTTTGTTTGGCCAAGACACAAGTTGTATTTTGTTTTCTATTTAATCTCTGTGTGGCCAAGACACAAGTTGTATTTTGTTTTCTATTTGATCTTTGTGTAGCCAAGGCACAAGTTGTATTTTGAAAGCCGTCCAGTAACCCAAATAAGAGAGAGAGAGAGAGAGAGAGAGAGAGAGAGAGAGGAGAGATATATATATATAGAGAGAGAGAGAGAGAGAGTGGGGAGAGATATAGAGAGAGAGATCCTACCTAAACGTAAACGAAAAGAATAAGAATTTAAGGATTCACCTTCAATCGTCTTTCAAAACTTTAAATCAATCGATGTACATCAAATTAAAGGAAGCTTAGCCAGCTGACATTATTCAACAAATATAATTCAGGGAATATAAAAAAGCAGTATTATGTTATAAGAGACACATTTGTTTTCTTTTTAAATTATAAGAAAAAAAAATCACAAATTCTCCAATAAAAACATAACACTTTGATGTTCTTTCCAGAGCCCAACCTTCAGAAAAAGATGATGACATCTGGAAGCGACAACCCCCAGATTTCCGTTATGTTGTGTACGACCCTCACCCGCCTAAACGTAACACGGTGGACGCCATTAGACCATGGGAGTATGGCACCGTTCCTGGTCAAAAGGAGGTCATTCGGAGAAACAGGTGAATGTGTTGATGGGTCTCTCGCCTCGGCTCTAACCAATTCTCTTACCTCGTCTTTTACCTCGGCGCTAACCTGGTCTCTTAATTCGTCTCTTACCTGGTCTCTTACCTCGTCTCTTACCTCGTCTCTTACCTCGTCTCTTACCTCGTTTCTTACCTCGTCTCTTACCTCGTCTCTTACCTCGTCTCTTCCTTGTCTCTTACCTCTTCTCTTACTTCGTTTCTAGCCTGGTCTATTACCTCGTCTCTTACATCGTTTCTTACCTCGTCTCTTACCTCGTTTCTTACTTCGTCTCTTACCTGGTCTCTTACCTGGTCCCTTACCTCGGCTTTTACCTGGTCTCTTACCTCGTCTCTTACCTAGTCTCTTACCGGGACTCTCACCGGGTCTCTTACCTGATCTCTTACCTGGTCTCTTACCTCGTCTCTTACCTCGTCTCTTACCTCGTCTCTTACCTCGTCTCTTTACTCATCTCTTAGCTCGTCTCTTACCTCACCCCTTACCTCGTCTCTTACCTCGTTAAAGTCCGAAACTGTCATTATATAGTTTTGGGGACATTTTGAGACAGCTCACCTTAAACGAATAAGAACCAAAATACATCCTTGAGAAAGAAGATGGTTTTTATATTGTGTTGTTGTGTACAACCATAAAAAAATGACATGATGACACATGCTATTGTCATACACAAATGCCATACATCCGCCATCATGCATTCACGCACTCAAATAACACGCACTCAAAAGGATTAAAAATTCTACTCGATGTGACTAAATGCTCATCTGTTTCTTCCATCATTCCTACCTAGTTTCATCTTACCTAGTTTCATCTTACCTAGTTTCATCTTACCTAGTTTCATCTTACCTAGTTTCATCTTACCTAGTTTCATCTTACCTAGTTTCATCTTACCTTGTTTCATCTTACCTATTTTCATTTTACCTAGTTTCATCTTACCTAGTTTCATCTTACCTTGTTTCATCTTACATAGTTTCATTTTACCTAGTTTCATCTTACCTAGTTTCATCTTACCTAGTTTCATCTTACCTAGTTTCATTTTACCTAGTTTCATCTTACTTAGTTTCATCTTACCTAGTTTCATCTTACCCAGTTTCATCTTCCCACTAAACTTGTCTTTGTTTCATCTGATATTTTGGGTGGGGCGAGAATGACCTTTGGGGGATGACCGTGGGGGGGGGGGGGGGGGGGGGCACCGAGGGGGAGAGCACACACTTTGCAATTAGTATTTAAATAATAATTAAATGTAGTCCCTGTTTGAAACTGAATCTATTTCACCTCAACGCGAATAAATGTCCTTTCAACCACAATCAGGTTGCGTCTTTTAAACCCAGGTCTGAAGTGGGCTCGTCGTTGAAATGTTGGGGTTTGAAAAGGACTCGTCGTTGAAATGTTGAGGTCTGACTGAAGGGGGTTCGTCGTTGAAATGTTGAGGTCTGAAGGGGGCTCGTCGTTGAAATGTTGAGGTCTGACTGAAGGGGGCTCGTCATTGAAATGTTGAGGTCTACTGAAGGGGGCTCGTCGTTGAAATGTTGAGGTCTGACTGAAGGGGGCTCGTCATTGAAATGTTGAGGTCTACTGAAGGGGGCTCGTCATTGAAATGTTGAGGTCTGACGGAAGGGGGCTTGTCATTGAAATGTTGAGTTCTGAAGGGGGCTATGAAATGTTGAGGTCTGACTGATGGGGGGTTGTCATTGAAATGTTGAGGTCTGAAGGGGGTTCGTCGTTGAAATGTTGATGTCTGACTGAAGGGGGCTCGTCATTGAAATGTTGAGGTCTACTGAAGGGGGCTCGTCATTGAAATGTTGAGGTCTGACTGAAGGGGGCTCGTCGTTGAAATGTTGAGGTCTGAAGGGGGCCTGTAGCTGAAATGTTGATAGATTTATTTCGTTAATTGCGTGTCCGTTCATATTTGTTTACCCTTGCCAGCAGGGATGACGACAAGCTCCCTGATATATTCGATCACAAAGAACCCGAAGCCAAGTTCCACACAATGTTCCGCACCGCCCGCCCGTTCACGGCCAAGAAGATGTTTGTCTCGTCTGGTATGAACAAGCCAGGAACCTACCTGAATCCGAAACCTCACGACTTTAGACAGGTAAACAAACACGAGTAAGCTCTGGACCAGTTATCTAACCCGTCACGGGTTTTTTCAGTTATATCTCCGTGGGGACAGTGCCCCCCCTCCCGGGAAAGCCAAGTGCCCCCCCTCCCGGGAAAGCCAAGTGCCCCCCGGAGCAAAAATATGTCCAACAATAAATCAAATGGAACTGCTGGCACTGCCCTCAAAAAACCTGAAGTGGGGGGGGGTTTTTTTTTATACTTGTGCCCCCCCCCCCCGGGACAATTTCTGAAACCAACACTGAACCCGTGTACCCTCCCTTGGGATAGATGCGCATGTGGACACTGTGAATACATTAGAGTACAGTACCCTTTCGTGGATATGTAAATCTGGGAACTAACTTTATAAGAAACATGACAGCAGCTCATAAATTATGAGTTGCTGCTGGTGCCATTAGGTGAACCTGGTTGTCAAAAAAGAATTGCCTTTACTGGTTGGCGGGAATTACTCTATATATTTAAATTAGATCAAGGGTTGTGATTCGAGGCATTTAGGGGATATTTAGTTGATTCTCCATCTCACCAGATTGTGTTAGGAGCCGATCATTCAAACGACACCACCCTGAATTATTTACCCATATTCAGTGGTGGAGCGAGGGTGTTTGGCGCCCGGAGACAAGATCCATTTTTAGCGCCCCTTTTTCTTTTTTTCAACTCTCAAACCCATTGTTTTCATCAATAAAATAATATCAAAGCACATTTTGGCGCCCGGGGACATCTGTCCCCCCTCTGCCCCCACCACGCTACGCCTCTGCCCATATTTACCCTTCACTATTCAAGCAGTTGGCTTTAACACTTTACGAGGCTTTGATTACTCTTGCTGGTGAAAACCTGCTAAAACGTTAATTTCTTTCGAGTTCCCTATCTCAACCAGGTAACGATACGAGTGCGAATAACAGGTAAAAATCTACGTTATAAATGATAAAATTCCAGTGGCGCCAACAAAAAATTGGATACTTTGTTGTGATAATGTCCGTCTTGTTGGAAGATTTTTCCCCGACTGCTCTTCGGGGCTAAAAACTGATGACGTGTCACTGTATTGTTTCCATCATCTGTTGGCAGCTCCAATTGGAAGACAATCAATGGGGTGCTTGAAAGGCTAATGTGTTTACATCAAACAAAAGCATACGCTACAGCAGGGTGGGCATATTTTTTATGCGACACAGATTGTTATCGCTGCCCTTATTCCTACACACAGAGTTTTATCGCTGCCATTATTCCTACACACAGAGTTGTATCGCTGCCATTATTCCTACACACAGAGTTTTATCGCTGCCATTACTCCTACACACAGAGTTTTATCGCTGCCATTATTCCTACACACAGAGTTTTATCGCTGCCATTATTCCTACACACAGAGTTTTATCGCTGCCATTATTCCTACACAGAGTGTTATCGCTGCCATTATTCCTACACAGAGTGTTGTCGCAGTCATTATTTCTACACAGAGTGTTATCGCTGCCATTATTTCTACATAGTGTTATCGCTGCCATTATTTCTACACAGAGTGTTATCTATACACAGTGTTATCGCTGCCATTATTTCTACATAAAGTGTTATCGCTGCCATTATTTCTACACAGAGTGTTATCCACACAGTGTTATAGCTTCCATTATTTCAACATAGAATGTTATCGCTGCCATTATTTCTACACAGAGTGTTATCTACACAGTGTTATCGCTGCCATTATTTCTACACAGAGTGTTATCTACACAGTGTTATCGCTGCCATTATTTCTACACAGAGTGTTATCTACACAGTGTTATCGCTGACATTATTTCTACACAGAGTGTTATCGCTGCCATTATTTCTACATAGTGTTATCGCTGCCATTATTTCTACACAGAGTGTTATCTACACAGTGTTATCGCTGCCATTATTTCTACACAGAGTGTTATCTACACAGTGTTATCGCTGCCATTATTTCTACACAGAGTGTTATCGCTGGCATTATTTCTACACATCGTGTTATCGCTGCCATTATTTCTACACATAGTGTTATCTCTTCCATTTTTCAACACAAAGGTTTATCTCTTCCATTATTCGAACACAGGGTGTTATCGCTGCTGTTTACTGCGGAAGAGAGCTTAGAAATACTGCCATTTAATTTTTGAAGTTTTATTCAAACACTTATGATATCACTGGACATTTTCAAACACTTATATCACATCACAGGACATATTCAAACACTTATGATATCACTGGACATTTTCAAACACTTATATCACATCACAGGACATATTCAAACACTTATGATATCACTGGACATTTTCAAACACTTATATCACATCACAGGACATATTCAAACACTTATGATATCACTGGACATTTTCAAACCCTTATATCACATCACAGGACATATTCAAACACTTATGATATCACTGGACATTTTCAAACACTTATATCACATCACAGGACATATTCAAACACTTATGATATCATTGGACATTTTCAAACACTTATATCACATCACTGGACATATTCAAACACTTATGATATCACTGGACATGTTCAAACACTTATATCACATCACTGGACATATTCAAACACTTATGATATCACTGGACATTTTCAAACACTTATATCACATCACTGGACATGTTCAAACACGTATATCACATCACTGGACATGTTCAAACACTTATAATATCACTGGACATGTTCAAACACTTATATCACATCACTGGACATGTTCAAACACTTATAATATCACTGGACATGTTTCAACACTTATGATATCACTGGACATGTTCAAACACTTATGATATCACGTGACCTGTTGGCTCGGCCTGATTTGTTCAGAGGATGCTCAGTTTATTTTAATTTACATTATTGAAGCTAGGTTTCAACAAACCATTGCCAGCTCAGTTTGCACAAAAACAGTGTAATAATTTATTTTTTTTAATTTCATGTGATTATTATTATTACAGATTGACAATTTTGCTCAAAAAAGTTATTATTTTTCTATGTTTCTAAAGATAACCATTTTAAAATGTGTATATTTTGCGGGCCTCATGTGTCCCACGGGCCTCAGTTGTTCCAACCCCCTTGCACTTTGGACTTACTATTGGTGTATGAGAGTTCAAAGAGTGCTCATTGACGTATAGTATACGCGTATTCTTTGCTAATCTTTTAACAACCGAGTATGTTGTTAATCTATTTTTAGCCACATGTTCATTATTGGGATAATCAGGCTCTTGCTTGGTCTGACGCGCTGTAGCCTGAAATTATATTGCATCGTTTTGTGTAGACATGAGTTTTAGAAATGAGTTTAAGACATGAGTCTTAGATATGAGTTTTAAACATGAATTTATGACATGAGTCTTAGACATGAGTTTTAGATATGAGTTTAATACAAGAGTTTTACACATGAGTTTAAGACATGAGTCTTAGACATGAATTTAAAACATGAGTTTTAGACATGAGTTTTAGACATGAATTTAAGACATGAGTCATAGCCATGAGTTTAAGACATGAATTTAAGACATGAGTCTTAGACATGAGTTTTAGATATGAGTTTAAGACATGAGTTTTAGATATGAGTTTAATACAAGAGTTTTACACATGAGTTTAAGACATGAGTCTTAGACATGAATTTAAGACATGAGTTTTAGACATGAGTTTAAGGCATGAGTTAATACATGAGTTTAGACATGAGTTTTACACATGACTTTAAGACATGAGTTTTAGATATGAGTTTTATACATGAGATTTAGACATGAGTTTAAGACATGAGTTTTAGAAATGAGTTTTAGAAATGAGTTTAAGACATGAGTTTAGACAAGAGTTTAGACATGAGTTTTAGACATGAATATAAGACATGAGTTTTAGACATGAGTTTTAGACATGAGTTTTAGACATGAGTTTTATACATGAGTTTAGACATGAGTTTTACACATGAGTTTAAGACATGAGCTTTAGACATGAGTTTAAGGCATGAGTTTTATACATGAGTTTAGAGATGAGTTTTACACATGAGTTTAAGACATGAGTTTTAGACATGAGTTTAAGACATGAGTTTTAGAAATGAGTTTAAGGCATGAGTTTTAGAAATGAGTTTAAGACATGAGTTTAGACATGAGTTTAAGACATGAGTTTAAGACATGAGTTTTAGACATGAGTTTAATACATGAGTTTTAGACATGAGTTTAAGACATGAGTTTTAGACATGAGTTTTAGACATGAGTTTAAGACATGAGTTTTAGAAATGAGTTTAAGACATGAGTTTTTAGACATCAATTTTAGACATGAGTTTTAGCATGAGTTTTAGACATGAATTTAAGACATGAGTTTAATACATGAATTTAAGACATGTTCTTTAAACATTAGTTTTAGCATGGGTTTTAGACATGAGTTTAATACATGAGTTTAAACATGAGTTTTAAACATGAGTTTAAGACATGAGTTTTAGACATGAGTTTAATACATGAGTTTTAGACATGAGTTTAGTACATGAGTTTTAGACATGAGTTTGAGACTTGAGTTTTAGACATCAGTTGAATACATTGGTTTTATACATGAGTTTAAGACATGAGTTTTAAACAAAAGTTGTAGACACGTTTTAGACATGAGTTTAAACATGAGTTTTAGACATGAGTTTTAGAAATGAGTTTAAGACGTGAGTTTATACATGAGTTTTAGACATGAGTTGAATACATTAGTTTTAGACATGAGTTTAAGACATGAGTTTTAGACATGAGTTTAATACATTAGTTTTAGACATGAGTTTAAGACATGAGTCTTAGACAAAAGATTTAGACACAATTTAGATGCGAGTTTTAAACATGAGTTTAGACATGGGTTTTAGATGTGGGTTTTAGACATGAGTTTTAGACATTTCAACAAAATTACGTTTTTTTGTCTAATTCATTGAGTGATTATTGTACTTAAGATGCCATTCAAATATTTTTTAATCGGTCTTAACTTGCTTATAACTTTGTATGATTATAGCTTTGTATGATAATACCTTGTATGATTAAAACTTTGTACGATTATAACTTTGTATGATTATAACTTTGTATGATTATATCTTATAAGGTTATATATTTGTATGATTTCTAATTGATAAGATTATAACTTTGCATGATTAGAACTTTGTACGATTATCCTTGATCTACTGCTCATTCTCTTTGCCCGTTCATCACCAGTACCCACCTATAAAGTCACTGGGCCTGGATGAGTTTGTCACCAACCATGAAAAGGATCCGTATGCCCTGCGGTTCAAATCCCAGCACCTAAACATCAGTATGTGCCGCTCTTTCTTTTCTTAAGTTAGAAATCCAACATTCCACAATTCGTCATCAGAATCGTTCAACAGAACAGCACATAATTTGTAGGGGGAAGTCCTTACGAAACAACGCATAATAGTTTCAGAAATTGTTGAACAAATTGTTTAGTTTTCAGAGCTAGAAGTTTAGGCCAGCTTTTGAAATACATATGTCCTTAACAAAAATTACATATAAATATTTATTAATGAATCTTGAAATATCAGCTACTTTTTTTTTACCCTACATATGTAAACCATTTCTATACCAAAGACAAATGGAGAAATTAAACCAAAAAGTTGTCATTATTTTTAAATTGTTTTTCTTTCACTCAATGACGTCAGCCTTTTTATATTAAAAAAAAAAACACGTTTAGATACTATACTCTGTTACAATGATTTTATAGCACGACCTCCAATGTTAACTATCGACACATTATTAACTTTATAGTGTATTTAAAAAACGAGTGAGTAGTTTGGACAAATGTTTGTGACTCCAACGCTATAGCACTGAAATTCAATATGAGATGACATGCAACTCTTTCTTTTGTGAAATAAATTTGTTGGAGGAATCCATTTTTTCTCACACACCTGTTTGTAAGGCTTAGAATTATTAGATCGTTAATTGAATATGTTTCTCTCAATTGCTTACTTACGTATGCCTTTTACCCCGTCTGGGGCATAGGCCGTCTACAAGAATTTTTCATTCATCTGGGTCATGTGTTTTTCTTTCCAGTTGTTTCAAGGTGTATCCCATACTCCGTGTCTGCCTCTAGCTCGCGTCTCCATGTATCCTTAGGTCTTCCTCTCTTTCTTTTTCCCTGTGGATTCCACGTCAGGGATTTCTGGTGATGCCATCTTTGTGTTTTCGGAGAGTATGCCCTATCCAACTCTATCTTTTCTTTATGATGTTTTTAGCATTAGGCTCCTGTTATGTCTTTTCCAGTAAGTCTATGTTGGTGATGGTGTTTGACCATTTGATGTCCAGGATCTTTCTACGGCAAGTGTTTATAAAGGTATTCTCCAAGTTTCGGCTCCATGGAATATGACTGTTTTTACATTTGTGTTGAAGATTCTCACTTTGGTTTGCAGAGTCAGCTCCTTTGACTCTTATATTTTATTTAATAGCCCAAATGCTTACCTCGCCTTTCCAATGCAAGCCCTGACATCTGCTTCGGATCCACCATTTATGTCAATGGTGCTGCCTTGCATGTGAAGGCCCCCAATTCTTCCAGTGCATATCCTATCAGAGAGATATGCTCTTTGTTGGCTGAGATTACCGTTATGATCTTTGTCTTGCTTTTATTTATATTTAGTCCGAGCTGTGCTAAAAAGGTGTCTTTTCTCAATTAAGTTACTATAAATTCCTCATTGAGCTTAAAAAACTAAATTATATCTTCCTATTAAAACATTAAGTTAAAATCAATTTGTTTGTCTCATTCTCAGATATCTAAAATGTTTGCTTTCATCTCTCCCTCCTTTTCGCAAATAAAAAAAGATAATAATAGTAATAATAATTTATCTTTTTAAATGAAGTCAGTGGCTTGCCTCGTGAGCCACCAAAGAGAGACCTAGCTCCTGGGAGACAGATGGACAAACCGATGTCTGGAAAGAAGAAATGGGACGCTCAGCTGATACTAGATAAGGACTCTTGGCCAAAAAGAAGTGCTGCCTTCACGGTATGTTGTTGCCCGATAAAGTCTGAAATTAGAAATAACATGCTCACGTTGAGTATCGGTAGCGTTAGTGGGCATTGGCTATGTCGATTAGTTTGATTTGCACACCATTTCCATTTTTGAATCTTCATTTATTTTTATGCGAACAAAAATCGTCGACAGTTGAAAAATAAATGGGTATTTCTAATTAAGGGGGGTTAAATTGGTGAGTGTGGAGGACGTCGTCATGAGGGATGTTGGGGGTATTTGGAGTGAGTGGGCGAAAATTGATTGGTAGTTGAGTGTCGTTTTTAGAATTAAAACATCAATTATTTACTTCGCTGATGTGTACTCCTTAATCATCTAAACACAGTCAATGCTGTTTTTTTTTAATGTTATTATAAAAATATTGTTTAGTATATTTTTTTAAAGTCAACAATCAATTACGTCAATTTTGTAATGTAGCAATACATCCCGAGGTCCGTGTACTCACTAGCCCCACAGGGATATTTTGTTGGATTCAAAACTTTTCAGGCTTTTTATATTTCACTTAGCAAATTGTAGTTAAATGTAATAGATGTTGTTTGTACCTCGACTCGCATTTCTTGTATTCGTCTTATCACTGGCCATGGTCAAGACTAACATAAATTATTAAATGAACTTATAACACGCAAATGCCCTTCAAAAATGCCCGAAAAATATCAAACTATTTTGTTAAACATCAATATATAATTGTTTTCATTTAAATTGATTTTTTGTAATAATATATTTTTTTAAAAGCACAGCCCATAAATGAAGTATACTCGTAGGGCAAACTGGAATATTGTTTATCCCAGTGATAACACAGAATATTGACCAACCCTATTGAAAAGCCTTCTTGTCCCACTGATAAGGCAGAATACCGACCATCTCAATTGAAAGACCTTTTTAATCCCTCTGATAAGACAGAATACGGCCTTTTTTGTCCCACTGATAAGACAAATTATTGACCAACCCAATTGAAAGTCCTTTACCCCTCCGAAAAGACAGAACATTGACCAACCCAATTAAAAGGCCATCTTTATCCCTCTGATAAGACAGAATATTGACCAACCTTATTGAAAGGCCTTCTCTAGCCCTCTGATAAGACAGAATATTGACCAAACTTATTGAAAGGCCTTCTTTATCGCTCTGATAAGAGAATATTGACCAACCCAAATAAACGGCCTTCTTTCTCCCACTGATAGGACAGAATACTGACCAACCCAAATGAAAGACCTTCTTTGTCCCACTGATAAGACAGAATATTGACCAATCCTATTGAAAGGCCTTCTTTATCCGTCTGATAGGACAGAATACTGACCAACCCAAATGAAAGACCTTCTTTGTCCCACTGATAAGACGGTTTCCCTATATAATTTGAATGATTTCATCCCTAGCGTCATCGCCGACGTCACAGGCAGCCGTACAGTGCCTTCATGGAACGTGTGGAGACAGCGCTCACGACCAGGTGGTCCATGGAACAGATGGACAAAGCCCTGCAGGCATGTTCCTAACACGCCACCACCAAAGTATTATTTGGAAACTACGATCTCAAACGGACATTTGCATAATTAGATTTTCGACTTGCATCACTGTGTGAAAAAGGAGAACTGAATTCTACACTACATTATTTGCTTTTTAAAATGCCCATTATCATTTTTGTTTGAAGTTAGATTTTCTGCTGTCTTGTGAAACTTTTAAAAATTCAACATAAAATTTATGTTAGAATCTAATTGACTGTTTTATTTTAAAATTGTATTTTATAAAATTATAACTGACTCACAATGAAAACCTTGTTTTTAAAGCATAGATTGTTGGGGTTGTGGACCCGCCCTTCCAACCCCCATTGCATGATTCCTTCACAAAGTTGGACTTGTAATCATTGAAATATCCTCATCAGCACCAGGCACGGAAACATTGCAAATCCCCTCTACGTGCTTAGGAGCCAAAATGACCAATAAATTGATCGTGGGCCCTTAAGATATAGAAGAGGAAGAAGAAGAAATCCAAAGCGGCCCTACCCGACATTTTTTTTTTTTAATTTCCTGGGGACGGGGGATTTTTGTAGCCAAGTTCACAAGTCACTTTACAATGAGACAGACAACCTTACAGTGAGACAGATAACCTTACAGTGAGGCAGATAACCTTACAGTGAGACAGATAACCTTACAGTGAGGCAGATAACCTTACAAAGAGACAGATAACCTTACAATGAGACAAAAACTTACATTGAGAAAGACAACCTTACAACGAGACAGATAATCTTACAATGTTGAATGCAAAATGTAATTTACATTTAATTTATTTCTTTTTTTTTAGATTAAACACGTTTAGAGTTTAAAAAGTTGTAAAGCAAAAAGAGTTCTAAAGCAAATAAAGATAGTGTGTTGCCAACTTTTGTTTAAATATGTTTAATGCTTTGTCTTCAGGTGTCGTTTTGTGGTCGAGTGGTAAAAGCTTGTCGTTCATATGCACCGGAGTTCAATCCAGGGTTTCTTTCAGCTATATCTACGGGGGAGGGGGGGCACTGCACTGCCCCCCCCCCCGGGAAAGCTAAGTGCCCCCCCCCGAGGAAAAATATGTCAAACAATAAATCCACTGGAACTGCCCCCCCCCCCCGAAAAATCTGAAGTGCCCCACCGGGGGAAAATTTCTGAAAGAAACACTTGTTCAATCCACAGGAATGGTATATCTTATTTACTATTTTGTTTTGTTATTCGTCTTATAAAATATTTTATAATTAGATAATTATATTCATCAATTGTTACAATGTTATCATCTTTCAGTTTTCAAGCAGTAAATGTACTCATTTATCATTGTGTAGTATTTTGAAATAAACTATTGTCAGGGCATTAACGTTTGAACCTTTGCCTTTAAAAGACATGCCGGCCTTAAATACATACAACCTACAGGCACCTGCGGCTCTTTATTAGCAAATATACTTGATAAAATACTCAAAAAAAGGTAACTGAAGCATCTACATCCACGGTATCCAGGGTATCCACTGCATATTAGTCGCTCATTAACTTTAACTGTGTCATAACGTCTTTATTATTGAGCATACACTGTAAAGGGAGATTAAATACGCAAGTCTCATTGTAATTCAGAAGAAGCTCAGAATGCCACAAACTCACTGACAGACGCGGCCCCAGATGTCACAAACTCACTGACAGATACGGCCCCGAATGCCGCGATCTCACTGACAGACGCGGCCCCGAATGCCACAAACTCACTGTCAGACGCGGCCCCGGATGCCACAAACTCACACAAACTCACTGACAGACGCGGCCCCAGATGTGACAAACTCACTGACAGATACGGCCCCGAATGCCGCGATCTCACTGACAGACGCGGCCCCGAATGCCACAAACTCACTGTCAGACGCGGCCCCGAATGCCACAAACTCACTGTCAGACGCGGCCCCGAATGCCACAAACTCACTGACAGACGCGGCCCCGAATGCCACAAACTCACTGTCAGACGCGGCCCCGAATGCCGCAATCTCACAGACACGGCCCGGGCGGCCCAAATGTCGCTGGCCCACGGTGCTGATGTGTGTGGGGGGGTGGTATGAATAAGGCCAAGAATCTTGAAAATAAAACAAATACAAACTGGAGCCCATTCGTCTTTTTCAGTTCCATGTTTTTAACATCGGAACTCTACCTCGGCCACCCACGAACGAAAGAGTATCAGGGCCAATGTTGCTCAGATTTTACGAAACAATAAAAGCCCCACATTTTGTCTGGAGACCATTTTTAAACAACTACCTCTCTAATTCGTAAAGACATCAACCTTTGTATAGTCTATTGAACGGCGCGATGCCTATTGCCTAGCGATACGGAGGACACACTTTTATTTACGTCATTCAGTAAGCCATCATGCACAAAATCCTGCTTTTGTTAACGCGATACTTATTTGATTTGCCTCCCAGGTAAATTCTCTTGTTGGAACATTTTAGATGATGTAAAACAGTATTCTATACACGGCTGGCGCTAACACTTAGCCGTAACACCATTACGTTGTCCTGTTGCGTCCTTTCGTCGGGTTCTCACCATACTCTGTTTCACTTATTTCCATCGAACAATATTACACAAACTACCACCATGTGCTGTTTTAAAAAGCATGTAGCTATTTTTAACATTGACCCATTTCCGACGACGGCAATGTTTATCAGTCAACAGACTCCAGGAGCCATTTTGAAATATTTTCAAATGAAAGTGCTGAACGTTAACCCCCACAATGTCAGCAACAACAACAACCAACAAAAATTTAAAAAAAAATTTTTTTTTTAAATTTCGCACTGTCCAACATCGGCTGTCGTGATATTTTAACTTCATTACCTGCGTTTTGGTCTGGACGTTCTAAAACTGTCCGGAGACAAACATCGCCACCTCGCCGACTCCAGACTGATCCACGATCGCCGTGCATGACTCCGTCCGATCTTTGCGTTCAACTGGGCGCCGTTTGTCAGCGGGTGTTTGTCAATCAAGGTGTTTGCCACACAGTTTTGAAAGTTGGTTGCGGGGCACGAACCGTGTAGCATAGAAACATGGTGGTCAAATTTGACCGGCGACAAAACCACGGAGAAAAAATGTTGACATATTGTGTTTATTTCCAAACAGCGGCGTTTCGTCTTGGGGGGGGGGGCTCTTGGCGTTCATTTTTGCACTGTTTGGTGTGAGACCAAGAACGTAATTGGAATGGTTGCTGTGTAAATTAAAACAATTGAAATAGAAAGTCGAGGGTTGGAGAGATGGGTTAAAATTCCGAGGGGAGCGGATTGGGGGGGGGGGGGCGACCTGTCCCCGCTCTCAATACAAAACCCAACCAAGAACGTAATTGGAATGGTTGCTGTGTAAATTAAAACAATTGAAATAGAAAGTCGAGGGTTGGAGAGATGGGTTAAAATTCCGAGGGGAGCGGATTGGGGGGGGGGGGGCGACCTGTCCCCGATCTCAATACAAAACCCTCGAGCTCGTGGAATAACTTCATTAGCAGCTGTGGTCTGTCGGACAATACGTAACATTGTATCTTTGTGAGACTTTCATACATTGGTGATTCCTATACGAGCTTTGGGATTGTAAGGTACAGCATTTCGTATCGGCTGTGAGCGTAGTTTTGGCAGTCATCGACACGGTGGCCTTTCATCGTTGTGAAAGCAAATTGGTTTTCATCTCTGCTTTTTTATAAATCTCCAACTAAAATGACCATAACAGCCCATCATGTTTTCGGCACGCTTATTTTGCCGATCGTCTGCCTCATTATCGCTGTGACCTCAACTCCGACCCCAAGTCCTACGCCATCACTCGTATTCGCCACAGAAGAAACACAACAGGCCAAAAGTTTAATTATTTACCCTACTCTGGATCCCATATATGTGGGAACCATAAATCTACTTCAAGACAATCATGATGGTGAGTTGGGTTATTCACTTCAGGGTAACTGTTCGTATGAAGAGTGTAGGAATTCGATGGAAAATTCCGAAGACCCCAAAGTGGAAGAAGATTCTTACGGATTAGCTTCCGGTTTAACAACACGTTGCAACTGTTCAGCTGGGGACCCGATAATCCCTGCTCTACCTGACATTCGAAATCTCCAGCCCCTGGATGGAATCACAACTTTGGACTCGTCGAGACGGCCATCAAATGAAGACGACGTGTATGAGGTAGACCCCCTGGAGAGCATCGCCTCCCTGAAGATGTCCAGACTGCAGCATTACGACAGGATCATGAAGGAGCACTCGTCCAACTCGAACTTCGTGTACACCCACACGACCAGACACAAAGGGTTTGCTACCAAAGCCAACGCGTCGACGCCCGAGTCCGATTCGCGGACTGGTTCCCAGATGAACGCTGCCAGAAGAATCTCGAGCCACCAAAGGGCGAGCTGGAAGCAAAACAACAGAAACTCAGCTCATTTTTACGGTGAGTATTTCGGCATGAATTTTTGTCGAGTGGCTGTCCCAAGCGTGTCATTGTTCATTCAAGGCTTTTTATATCCATTAATAGATTTAGATAATTACGAAACCCATAAGGCAAAATGATAGTTCCAGATATAATATAAAATTGTTACAGGTGTGTGAAATTTGGAAAAATTCTGAATGCTCAGTTTAAATAACATAAATATGATGCGAAGAGGAACAACGTCTGAAAGATTAACATGATAGTCATTTATTTTTATTTTTTAAATTCAATTCAAAGTTGTTGTTTTTTAATGAATACAGAAACCAAGTAATTAAAATTAATTGCAAATTCATCAATAATTTTACAGTTTAAATACGAATGTTTGCAAATGCGTTGATTTTCCTATTTGTTATTCAATAATTATGCGTGTGATTTTAAGACTTTAAATCACATATGCGTTCATTAGAATAACTATTGTATTATTTTAATAAGTAGTACAACACTATTTTTTTTAAACTTTTTAATTTGATTTTTAAGACGTTCTTGGTATGTGCCAAGCGGAACCAACACTGATCTCTCCCCACCCTGATAACTGCGCCTGGTACGTCAACTGCTCCCTGACCCCTGATGCTGCTATGATGACGTTTTTCAGTGGCTATGCCCTGGAATGCCCGTATCCTCAGCTCTTCTCTGACGTGACGCTGCAGTGCGAAGACTTCAAAGACGTTCAGTGCAACGGCCGTTTCGAGCCGAAATCACCATGTAAGTTTACATGGACTTGATAAGTTTACAGGAACTTGATAAGTGTACAGGAACTTGATAAGTTTACAGGAACTTGATAAGTTTACAGGAACTTGATAAGTTTACATGAACATGATAAGTTTACAGGAACTTGATAAGTTTACAGGAACTTGATAAGTTTACAGGAACTTGATAAGTTTACAGGGACATGATAAGTTTATAGGAACATGATAAGTTTACACGGACTTTATAAGTTTACAGGGACTTGATAAGTTTACAGGGACATGATAAGTTTACAGGAACATGATAAGTTTAAAGGAACATGATAAGTTTACAGGAACTTGATAAGTTTACAGGGACTTGATAAGTTTACAGGAACATGATAAGTTTACAGGAACTTGATAAGTTTACAGGAACTTGATAAGTTTACAGGAACTTGATAAGTTTTTAGGAACATGATAAGATTAAGGGAGCTTTAAGATACGATAAGATAAGATTCTTTTATTGATCCAAATAAATGGAAATGTTTTTTGATTGCACTATACATTTTCAGCACAAAAATAAAACAACTTGAACACAAGACATTTATAATAAATTATTTCAAACAGCCATTCAGTGAGTTCTCTTAGCAAAATAGGGAACTTATTAGTTCTCATTCATATGTGTGACTTCAGAGGAAGCACGCCGGTAAATTATAAGTTTATGGGAACACAAGTTTACAGGTTGAGCCTGATGAACTTGATACATTTACATGAACTTGATAAGTTTACAGGAATTCGATAAGTTTACAGGAAGTTGATAAGTTTGCAGGAAGTTGATAATTTGCAGGAAGTTGATAAGTTTTGCAGTTGACATGTAAATATTTCTGGAATTGGTGGAGCAATATACATTTATTTTTTTGTATTTAATTAATGTTAATTTTTAAGTTCATGATTATGTTTGTTAAATTGTATTTACCGCGTGGTGAGCCCAGCCCTAGGCTTGGCTACCGCGCTATATAAAACCACTAATAATAATAATAATAAGTTTGATGGAAGTTGCTAAGCTTGCAGGAAGTTGTTAAGTTTACAGGAACTTAATAAGTTTGCAGCAACTTGATCAGTTTGCAGGAACTTGATCAGTTTGAAGGAACGTGTTAAGTTTACAAGAACTTGATAAGTTGGTTGGAGTTGGAGTTCAAAAGAGTTAAACCTATGTAAACTTAACTAAATCATTAAGATATGTAATGTCCAATAATAAGTTATGCTCACTAATTTGTCTATATAAACAATTTGATATATATTACGGATGGACGCGTGTGAGAGAATATACAAGGTAAAGACAACGACATTGAGCACAGTGGTCCTAGCTAAGAGGCCAACACTTAAAATGCCCGTTCCCTTGGTCGCCGAACACAATGAATGAGATATAGAAACCGTTGAAGACGAATCTTATTATGCCATTCAAAAGTGTAGGATTTCAAAATGGTAATCGCAATGGTGAGCTGGTTGATAGATTTATTGATGTACTGGATCTTTAACAGGTGATTACAGGGCGAACAGGTGCCACGAGTCGTCTCACTGTGTGCCGTGTTGGGTGAGATATGCCAGCTGTCGGGGGCTGAACGAGGGTCTCAACCCCTGGGAGGGGATGGAGTGGGAGCGCTTCTTTGTTGAATGCCACAAGGAGAGGACAGTTTTTCAGGTACTTGAATGACATAACTAAACAAAACACGACGAACTTGATAGGATTGTCTATGACTATGAATTTCATTTTAAAAAAATGGTTGTGTATTGTAACGAACTCAGTACTTTACAATTTACAAAGAAACTCAATAAACATTCTTTACTTTCGCTTCACTTTCCACATTGCTTTCCCTTGAGCACTACAAAGTATGTTTTGATTGATATCAGAGGTATGATTAAAATGGTACGTGATTAGTAAATTGAAATTTTACTTTGCTACGGTCATATTAGAAATATGCCTTCAAACATGATCTTAATTGGGCCTTAAATGCAGGTTCATTTTTCTCCCCATATACAAAATATCTTATCCATTGTCGCTCCACTGGGTGAGAGCGCCGTAAACCAAGCGTAGGTCTATCTTATGCAGCCTTTTATTTCTGCTTTCCAATCTCAGGGCCTCTGCGACTCAAGTGCCGTGTTTTCTCCCATCACGAGAGCCTGCGAGACTCCGATGAGCATTCCCAGCAAACATGGCGGCTGGAAGCCCGGTTGTCACGGACGCCTCGATGGATTCTATCCCGACGAGCTGGGCCGATGCGACCTGTATTACATGTGCCAAGGCCAACTGTTCAGGGGCTTCCACAGTTGCCAGCACGGACTCAAGTTTAACCCCTTCACATCCAGCTGTGAGCCCGCTCGGCAAGTGCCCTTTCCATGCGGTGACAAGGACGACGACATGGGGCTCTGTAGAGGGAAATCTGACGGGTTTTACTTAGATGTTTTCGGGCGGTGCACGCATTATTTTGGATGCCAGAATAAAACGATGACCGGATTTCACGTTTGCTCTAAGGGCGTCTTCAACCTGGAGAAGCGTCGGTGTGACACGGGTGAAGGCGTTCGGTCAGAGATGGCCGTGCCTTGCGGAGACCTCGAGAACACGTGTTTCCAGAGAGCCGACGGCGTCTACAAGGACATAATAACAGACGGATACAATTGTAGAAGACGGGTGGTTTGCGAGAGAGGGCTGATCATTGCCAGTCACGTGTCATGCAGTGACTTGTCTGAATACATTAGTTTTTAGCATGGATTTATCATAAAGTGTTAACCAAATAATGGACATTGTCTCTTGCCAACTACTTTACTTTGTTTTCTACATGTTTGTACATGTAGGCCTACTGCGATATAAGTCATAATATCTTAAATGTTTTTTTACTGTTTTTTTTAATCACTGAATGATTTGAATTGCCACAAAATGTAAAACTGCTGCTTCACTGTATGTGCTTTTTATTCACAAGTCTTTAGTAGAGCATAGTATGAGAAGGCCACATGCAAAACCTGCCCAAGTCACTTTTTTTAAAGAAATTTTTTATCCTTTTTGGCTGCTTTGTTAAGTATCTAAACTTAATAATCTTCATTTAAGTCTAAAATTAAAATTTCACCATAACTAAAGTATAAATGCTATAGTAAGCTTAATTGGTACCGGTACAACAAAAAAAAAAACACCCCAGCATGAATTTTCTCAAAATCAATCCGCAGGTTTTGCTAGTGGCCTTTTGATCTTCTAATATGCGAGTGTATAAATTAGTATAGATTTAAATGTGTGAAAATGCTTACTTCTGCTTTTTTAGAGATTCTATTGGAATGATTTAAAAAACTATAACATTGAGTTAACATTGAATTAAGCTTATCCAATTTACCCTAGGAAGTGAGATGTGGTCTGCTCTAGGTGCTACTTTTTCTGTACATGAAGGTGGAATTTTCGGCCAGCTGCAAACAGGGCTTATTTAAAAATAGTGTCCCGCCCCAGGCAGCACATCTAGCTACCACTACCAGCTCTAGCTATCCAAGTCTACAGTCAGAGTAAAGACCTCGGATTTATTTTTAGAAGTAATAGCAAATTACTAACACCAGTAAAATACTGAAGTAGCCCAGTTTAATGACTTTAAAAATTCCAAGCATGGTAATACTAAATACATCATGCATGTTACATTTTGTTGATAGCGACCGTCATTTTAAAACAGGTTTTTATATTATATGGTGGTAGCAAAAAAGCTCTCAAAGTGTTTCTGAAAGTATCAACAAAGCACAATTGGTGAAAGCAATTGAGTTTTTTTGAAGTCATGTGATGTTAATTTTACTTTTACACAATTAAAATGTACCATTACCAATAGGTATTTTTGGCACTTTGTTGAAATAGGGTCAGGATGATCAAGCACAATTGTTTTTTAAAGAAGACAGTTTTGACAGAGTACATTTCTAGTGATAGGGTACAGTAGTAATAAGGGTTCCTGCTCTACGCAAAGCAACAAGGGCCAATGGATTTGACAACATAGTACTAGTACCTACCCAAAGATTGATTAGTTAGAGTGTTAGCTCAATCATCAATGTAATATTGGCTTGTGTATGTGTTGTATACTTTGGGTCAACTGACCTGGGTCCTAAGTCTCAATTGGTGTTGACCTCTACACCTAAACCAACGAGGACTACACAATGAAAGTTTTCACCTCTACACCTAACAATAACAAGAGGACTACACAACAAAAGTTGTTCACCTCTACACATAACAGAGGACAATGCACAACAATCTAGATGAAATTACAACACAAGTCTACTTTATTAATTTTATTACATTATGCCCATAGTATCAAATGCTAGTGATAAGAACCAGATAATGAAAGGGAACAGGGCCTTTTGGTTGCAGTGTATTTCAAAATCAAACAAAAAAATGTTCAGTCAAATCAATCTCACTTGAAATATGTACCAAGGAATGATATTACAACAGACAGCCCCTTGCAATCAATGTCAAAATATCTTCACAACTTTATTAAAACAATATATGATTTTAGTCACACAAAACTTTTGTATTATAATTATTTAAAACGAGATCACAAAGTGCAATCGTATCAAAAATATCTCAACAGATCTTTATTAAAACAAAAATGACTTTGGTTACACTAAATTTCCGTGATAAAAATTGCAATCATGTCAAAATATTTCCACAAAATGTAATTTTAATACAAAGCATGATTTTAGTTACACTAAACTGTGGCAGTAAAAAGAACACAAAAGTGGTCAACTTTACATCAAAATCAAAGTAAAATAATTTACAAATGAAGTTATATGGCTACATTCAACTAACTGCCTTCAGCTCAACTTCAAAAACAAGGGTTGAATTGGGTGGAATTGGTCCTTGCTTTACATTTCCATATCTGTAAGGAAGGTGGTAAGAATAATTGTTATATTCATGTACATTGTTATGAATAATTGTACCGTAATAATTAAAAACCATAAATTCAACCAAGTAAAATATGTAAAGACTATTGAAAGTAAAAACACAAATTTACAAAAATATCTCTATATTTACTAAGACCTAATTTTATATATTAGTATTAGATATAAAAATAGCAAGAGATAGAACAAAAACAAGTAGCTTACGCTTGACTAGCAGGTACTGTAATCTTTCTTTTGCCTCCAACTTTCATTCCTTGTTCAACCAGAAAAAAACTCCAATTACTTATCATATGGGACCATGGAAACATGTCCCAACAATAAAAAAATAAAAAATTACACTAAGTTCGTTCATATCTAATGAAAGGACCAATGGTTTTCTTTGATGTAAATTATGAACATGAACTATTATCTTAAATTCCATGGAGATTAAAAGCAACAAAAATTAAAAATAAAGTATATTAACTCACAAATATAAGCAGACAGTGCACTTACCAGTAACACCAACATCCCAGCCCTTAATAACTTCCCCTTGATTCAGCTTGAAACGGAATGGTTTCCCTTCTGTGCAGGAGTCGAAGCGTTTGTTGCTCTTGGCTAAAACTCCAACATAATAGACTGAAGCCTGTTTACAAAAAGAAAATAGTACTGAAAAATCCCCTCAAACAAAACAAAAATATGAACAGATTTTATATAAACAGATTTGTAAAAGCACATACGTGATATCATTAAGCACTAATGAAACAGTTTTTCTCCCACAGAACTCACCATTTTCCCAGGCTTAGCTTCAGGTCCATGTCCAACTTTAATATCTTCCACAATTGTTCCACCAGCTACTACCCTCTTCTTTGGCGTAGTGCTTGTGGTTGTTTCAGCTTTTGGCGTTGTAGGAGGTGTGCTGGCAGTACTGACATTCTGATCAAATGATTAAAAATAAATTATTTATGGTCCTAAATAATGATAAAGCTCAAAACCTACAAATTTAGTAGTGAAATTATGTTAGAGGCTATTAAAGGGATCTGAATTTTGCTCAGATGTTGCATGAATAACTTCGAGTTTCATTAGTTTCAAGAAAAGAAGATAATGTCTATGGATTTCAAGATTTACAGATATAGCGCCTTTATTTAAAAATGAACTTATGAACTTATTATGTAAGTTGGGGGAATTAATTGTCATAAAGTTGTTCATTTCAATGACAATAAACAATTTTTTTTATAGATCTATCTATGCACTCAAAATGGGAATTATAGAGCTACTATTTGTGGCAACACGCCAGTTTAACTACCAGACTGCCAGTTGTTAAAAAATGATGAAACAATTTTTTGTCAACATACATTTTAAAATTCAACATGAAAACTAGTCACCTGTGACTTATCTGCACCTTCCTTGTTCTTCTTCTTCTTTTTCTTCTTCTTCTTCTTGGCACTTTCTCCATCAGCTGGTGTTGATGGCTGAGTAGAGTAAAAAAGTTGCTTCATTTTCTCAACAGTAAGAAGTCTCCATATCTTGTTAACTATACTAAAAAAAGCAATCTTTTTTTATACGCGATTCTAAACCCAATATCAGAAAAAGAAAACACTTTCTCCTAAGTACTTTTACAGCAGTTTTATCCAAGAAACAAAACAAAAAATGGTAACCATTTATATCACCATGGGTAATAAAATTGTTTTTAAAGATTTTGAAGTCGTGCTTTTGACAAAGTATTTACAATGACTCCATAATGTTGACTGACTGGGAGTCATTTTGCTGTACACATTAATGTATAAAATTGTGAAAAGGCTTTACGCAATTGTTCTTTCACCAATAACAATTTGAATTAAGATTTTTTGCAAATATCTAGTCCTAATTAATGTTTTATAAGGTTGTACAGATTAATCTGTGAAATAATTTGCTTCATGAGATAAGTTATACTGTCAAGCGAACATTGGAAGTCTGTAACATAAATTTGCCAATGCTTACCGTCTGAGGAGCCTTTTCAGAAGGAGTTCCAGCTGCCTGCTGATTTTTCTTTTGTGAATCTTGTTTAGCCTTGCCATTTTGTTTCCCGGGACTCTGTTGATTGGGTGTCTTGGGGGACTTGCCGTCCTGCTTTGAAGTATTCAACTCCTGTTTAACTTTAATCTTTTTGGCAGCCGGTGTGTTTGGTGCAGATGCAGCTTTTTGAGGTTTCTCGGGGGCTGTTGTTTTCACCTTCTTTGTTGGGCTCTCTTCATCATCTTCTTCCAAATCTGATTCTGTGAACAACAAGGTCATGCACAAGGCGATTCAATTTAGCTATCGCTAACAACAAAGAAGCAAGTAAATAAATTGTTTCCCCCTTTATACAAGGAAGGGGGGAAATAATTCTGGTGGCTGGAAACTTCAGATCAGGTCCCATTTTCTCAAAGTAGAGTGAGGTATAAACAACAGTTTAAGTGCAACTTATTATAATGCGGCTAATCATGCTCATGAAATGCTATGGAGAAAATAGGCCTACTAACCATCTTCACTTTCCTCTTCATCAAACGAATCTGTTAAGGAGTCAATTAAAAAAGAATGAAAAATCAAACTTACTTTGCTTTTAAAAATGAGTTAAACATTTTTCAGTGGCCATAAAAAATAATGAAGGGTTAGTAGGAGCATTCGATATGAGCACACAATAATTATTGGTAACGGATTTTGAGGTTAGAAACAGCTTTCAAAATTGAACATCTTCAACTAAAACAAGTATGTATCAGATTTATGTGTTTTTAAAACATCTATTATAGAAGTACTAGAAACAATAATGGTAAAGTCACTAATGTAAGATGAGGGCAATTTAAAAATACGACCTGCCAAATATCTTCCCATTGAAAATTAGTAATACTTAATATGTTTATTACATAGACTATTTTGAATGAACAGAATTTATTTCTTGAAAATTAATCCCTAAAGTTTAGAATAGATAGGCATAAATGACTTACCATCATCAAAATCATCAGAAAACTAAAAAAAAAGAAAATTAAAATAACATTAGGATACAACCTACAGCCAACATGCATTTTTTATGAAACAAAATTTAATTGCACAAACAACGAACTTTAAAGTCATTCTCAGACCATCTCCACCTAACTATGCAGAGGAGAGCTTTACAAGAAATATTTGTTGTAAGATCAAACAAAATCAAAAGCATCACAACTTTGTGTGTTCAACTGTAACTTATTGTTAAACTGACCATGAAGCTAAAAACTAATATCACACACACCTCTTCCTCTTCTGCATTGTAATCCTCATCATCTTCATCACTCTCATCTTCCTCATCATCAACATAGCTATCTGAAAGTTTTAACTTCTTGGATTTGCGATGGGAGGCATCAGCTTTTCTCTTTCCAACTAAATTAAATGTCATAAACACAATATTTAAAAAACAAATTTTTTCACCATATACACATGAAAATATATATTGCTCTAAAATATGAAATACATTAAAATTTTGTGGGTAGGCTTTTAGGCCAACAATGTTTTGAAAACTTGTCTTGCTATCTTACTTTAACATGACTTATTATTTAAACTAACAACACTAACCTAGGATGCTTTCATCAGCAGAGGTATCTACCAGAGAGGGGGCTTCTGAAAAAATATAATGTAAAATTATAGTAATAGGGCCATTAAAATCATTTAATATTAATAAATTTATAAAAATGTTAACAAATTTGGAAACATAGGACATGCTCATACCTTCATCATCAGACTCTGAAAATGATTCCTCAAAAGGTCCTTCCTCATCATCAGGAATGAGATAGCCAGTCAAATGGACAATTCCTGAAAACAACAAGTAAGTATTTCAATCTTTAAATATTTCAGGAAATATGTTTATTTATTCAAAGGTCATACAACTAACCTAAAAAATTTAAGTCTTTTTCTACAGGATCCTGTTTTAAAGATTTCAAAATATAAAACTACAATTTATTTTTCACAATAAAACAAAATGAAAAGATTCTAGATTAACCACTTGTGAACAGGCAGCATCAGCTATCACTACAATTGTATATTTTATCCAGATATATAATTGTTTTAAAATTTTATTCAAGTGAAACTGCTATGCCAGAGTTGTAATATCTGCATTATTGTGTATCTTAATAAACTACTATCCCCTTGCTGTCAGATGTTCAACATTGACAAATCAGAGTCAAGTTGTTTCTCATCGTCTTCTTTCCTGAGCACTGATGATGCAGACTGCTGTCAATAACTACAGACTCACACAGCAACCGTAAAATCAACCGTGAGAAATTAGCTGCAACTTACCCAACCAACCACAGCCATCTCTTGATGTTTATTTCAATGAACCACCCCACCCCTTATTTTAATGCAAGACGGGATTCACTTTCAAGTTTTTAAGCTATTTCTGCACAAAATGTGCAAATATCATTTGAAAAAATTGATTCTTCAATGCAATCAGGGAATAATTAGAATAAACTAAGGACAAAAAATAGAAAGCTCGCACCTGAACCATTCAGACTAAAGGAAACTTGTTCTCCAGTAGCAAAGTTTAAGTCTAGGGGCTGTTGCATTAAGCTATTGTGCAAAGTGCACAACAGATATTCAGAAGAATCATGCTGCAGCATCACTTGCACATTTTCACTAGGCTTCTCTATTAAAAAAAAGGGAAAATATGCAACGAAATTAGCAAATTGAAAGAATTTTTAAAATAGTATTTTAAAGGCTGCTTTAACCCGGCTTTCACCAAGAATAAAACATTGGAGGGTGGAAGGTGTACATTTTATACACAGAGATAAAACTGTAAAAGTAAGATGCAAATCTAGAAGTGGTTTTTACCTAACTAAAAAAAAACTTAGTTCGTTTGACTGATTAAATTCTGCTCTAAAAAATACTTTTTTTTTTTTTACATTTTAATTTTTATCCACCCTTTCTTTTGAACCACTCCTAATTTCAGAATTAATTCCTTTTAAAACTTTGGTAAATTATATGTGAGGTATGTATCTAAATCATGCAAAGTTTGTACTTACTTGCGCTTATTTCCAGAGCTGCCATAGACACATGAAAACCTTGATCAACCACTTGGGAGTAGCGTTTGCCAGCATCAATAGTCACACCTTTTATGAAAAATAATGCTTTATCTTAAGTTATTTACTTATTGATAAGTCTAATGCTGATATATTATAAATGAAATAGTATTATTTTATAAAGGTATCCCAACCTATTTTATATTGTCCACCCCTTACAAATTGTTTTATTTAGTCTGACACACACTACAAAATTAACAATGCAATTTAAAATTGGAAAAAATATAAATGGACGTCTCATCTTTTGTTAATTAAATTATACAGACTGAATGACAACTGTAAAAATTAGAAAATAACTGTTATTAGGACAGCATAAAGAATAACACTGAAGATTTTAAAAAATAATAATATATAAACACTTATATCAAAAGTTAAGCATCATTGCCTCAGCTGTTCTTATCACTTTTACTTGCACCCTTTGAAAACCACCTCACACCCCTGCTGGGTGTGTCAGCAGGTTGGAAAATGCTTCGAATTAGTATGCAAAAGGCACATACCAGTATATATATATATTTATATATAATAAAATAATAATAATAAAATTCATTTCAAAACACGCTTCATCCCCAAAGGCTCGAAGCGCGGTACAAAGTAAACAAAAAAATAAATCTATAATTTACCACATTTAAAACAAACGCAACACTACAAAAACTAATTACAAGCATACAATGTCAAAGTCTTTCTAGCGATTTCAACCATAAGCAACACAGCCATTATGCATTAACTGGAAAATA